CTTGCACCTTGTTTTATCATAAGTCTTTACTTTGCGACCTAGGCCAGCGCTTTCATGAGACTATTTTTTCATCACCATCTAACACAAACAAGTAATTAAACCATCAGGAGATGCACCTATATGTGGCATGTCAGTGAAAATAAAAAAAAACAGTATCTTGCAACTGGACATTTTCGTGAAATTTTCTGAATTTTTCAAGGAAAATCTCCCTTGCATAGGTTTCATGTTCACATCCCCATTTGATTGCATGATTTGAGAACTTGTTCGTGTCTGGGTAACACAAGCTGGGTTTGATATATTCATTTGGCACACGTCTCGCATCCAAGAAGCTGTGACTCGGCCAGATCTGAAACGTACCAAAGTTTACTTAATGCCTGTGTTCTTGTTGCTAGTTCTCTACTGCCTTAGCCTGCTCATCAGTGACAGACAGCAAACGGCTATTCAAAATATCTGTGGTTAATTCTCACAGATCATTTCCAGAAACTTGTTCATTATACTTATATTATAATTCTGTTAATAACATTGGAAACTTGCCACTTACCAGTTTCCGGAATGTATTCATTTGAATATGGCTCTTTGAGTGACAAAAAAACAGAACTGCATCCACTCGAATAAATCATTTTGTGAAAATCGTCTATTTCTTTCAAAGAAGGTTCTTTGATAGTTTTGGAGCTGTGCCTTTGTTGTGGAATATCGTTAATAATAGTAGTTCTATCACTTATATTATCGCTGATGGAAAATCTATTGCTGAAACCTCTTTATAACCCACACCTTTATATGACGAAGGCAGAAGCCAATATGCCTTTTCATTAGTAACTGTCTTTGACTCTCTCACTTTGACTGAAAACAGAAAATAATAAGGCTGCCACATGCGTACATACTTCACCCAACCAGCCATACAGGTACAATGGGCACCCATGATCGTTCCATCTGCCTTTAGCAATTATCCATGGTTTTAAGAGGCTTGTTACTAAGTATTTGAGAGTGAAGTACCTAGAATGAAAAAGAATTAAAGGTTTTGAGAGTGAAGTACCTAGAATGAAAAAGAATTAAAGGTTTTGAGAGTGAAGTACCTAGAATGAAAAAGAATTAAAGGTTTTGAGAGTGAAGTACCTAGAATGAAAAAGAATTAAAGGTTTTAACGAAATGTTTTACAATATTTAAAATGCAATTTGATTTATATACAAATGGTAATTATGACTTTTCCTTCACTCTGTATGTATTATCCCTAAAGTAATCCAAACAGCATTCCTAACAAGTTCAAAGAAGTCAGTAGGATTTAATTTGGAATAAGGCAAGATGATTCATAAAATTACCTTTGATGTAACGATAAACAACCCATTGGTATAACCACATTTTTTATCTCTCACCCAACCACAGGCAAATTGATTATATGACTCAAGGCCTTTGTAGCTCAGAGCTGTAAGGTCTGGGAGAAAAAACCAAATAATTTAGTATGTCTGGATTGGTTATTGACGGTAAAACTTGAACCTCTTCAGATGGGTTATAGTCATAATAGCCCTAAACCAAAATGGGTCAAAATGGCACCTTAAAACAGTCCAAAGTGGACTCAGGAAAATTTTTGCTTTGTTTTTGTTCTAATGTGATGATAATTGAATAGCTTATATGATGATGAAAAATAAAGATCCAGAGTTATTGATAAGGGTGACAAACCGATGCAGGGAGAAGTTACGACCGAAAAACCCAATGGACTTGGAATTTTAGGTAATTAATTGAATTAATTAAAATGTTATATATATATTATAGTTATATCAACACTTATATGCAGTCTACTGTATGTTGACAAAGTGATATGTATAATATGATGTATAAAAGTGCTCTTTCTATATTAAATAAAATATATAACCTATTATTATTTTCTCGATAACACTGCTTAGGATTATCTTTGTTTGCAAATGTAGAGAAAAAAAATACGTCTGAATCGTAAGATAGAATATAGTATTGTGGCCAAGGAATCCTTTTGTTTACTCTGTTTATACCTCCACAATGGCCGCTCATCCGGGTATTCACGCTTTCAGCGAGGGGTCGTGAAACACTCTATACATTTATAGAGTTAGTCGCTAAATAACTTTGATTGAAACGATATAAGGTAACAGCCAAGCGCCACCCACCCATTCATACCACGAAAATATCATGTTATAAGTTCATTTGGACACAAACGCAATTGTCACTATTATGAAAAATGAGGACATATTTTATTACAGTATAGTCCGTTTCTTACTTTGAAGTAGTCCACAGCACCGCCTAACGTCATAATGATGGTGTTTGGAAGTTTAAAGTATTAGGAATTAGAAATTAAGAATTAAGAACATTGGATTTATAAACACTCGGCTGATAAGAAAAAATCACTAGTTGACATGGTTTTGGACTTTGAGTGTAGGAGTGTATATCTTCAACTTCTTCAAATATGACTAAAACAGACATAGGCTACACCACACCTGTTTCTTTATTGTCTTAGGCAAATATTTTATATATCTTTGATAGTGCAGAATACGCATTGTGGTAAGTTCAGATTTGTTTTATGGGTTTTAGGCGATGAGCCAGACCGATTTTGACTACCTTAGCTAGCTTTATTAAAAAAAGATGGCGGTCGCTTTTTATTGTTAAATTTAAGCTATTAGAAATTCGCGAATTTCTCAACTTATTTGCATTTAATAACTGTACTAAATTTTATTTCAAAAATGAATCAGACATTCTTGTGCAGGTTGTGTAATTGTTTAATTAACCCATTTAAAATAAATTCAGTTTGATCAAGAAGATACATATATAGATATAAATAGCTTGCCTATATTATATTATCAGGTATAATTTACGACGTTTTTGCTAATGAAAACCTTTTACAAAAACGTGGAATGTCCCTTTAAAGAAAATTAAAATTTTATAGCATTTTTAAGTACAGTCAGATGGCAGAATGAATCGAGCAAGGCAAAATATATTAATGTATACTTTGCAATGTCAATTGTTCTGCAAAAACAAAAATAAAAAAATTTAAGCTTAAAAGTCCTGAAATATATCTAATATATTTTTTTTTAATTCAACTGCAGCATCTGAAAATTCAACAGTTAAAAAATGTTGCTCTATGGCCCAACCTAAAATTATGTGATTATGGAAGGGTAGTTACTCTAACTTCGAACATTTTTACCTCCCCCACTAAATCATGTTTACCTATAGTCTATAATTATCAAATATCACCAGTGAGAAAATAAGACTGCCATATTTTTTTCCTATAGAAAAGAATTATTTTAATTCTCATCATATTAATCATATTTTTAAAAAAAAGAAAAAGAAAAAAATTATTTTAAATCATTTTACTTTAATTTATTGTACTTGGTATATTTGAATTGTGACTATGAATACAGAAGGGGAAAGGGGAAAATTTCAATTTAGAAAAATACAAAACTTTGTTTTCCACACCGAAACACATCAGGTTCTAATCAAAATTAAAATTGTTTACATGAAAAAACTGCCAGTTGCACAAGAATCCCATTTTCATAACCACTTAGTGCTTCCTCAAGAGAATCTGTGTTTTCAAAAGCTAGTACAGCTAGATTTGAAAGATGTTTTCCTTGTTCAACAGTGCTTAGGTTTTCCATACAGAGAGCAGTGTAAATTTCTTCTAAGCGTGTGTAAGAGCAACAATAACTAAGATTCAAAATCCTGTTAATGACTCAATTACCCAAGATAAATATGTATGCTTGGGGGTGATAGCCTGGACAAAAGTGATGTGACAGCTATTCTATGTCTTGTCCAGTTGACCATGAAATTCTACTTATTTTGTCAGAAGGAACATGATGATGACTCCCAAGAACCAGGGAGCTTAAAAAATTCAGCAAGACACAGTGGCAAATCGATGTATTTATGATTCAATTTGTCGGATTTCGGTGGCCAAATCTATTCTTTTATCTTAGTCCGAACCTTAATACGCAACATCATAGCTGTTTGATACACAAAATGTTCATACTGATATCCCTGACTTTAAGGGTCAGGTGCGCCATTTTGATGTGATTTTAATCTTGAATATATGTAAAAAGTCTTCAGAAGTAGACACGTGGGCCAGCCAGCATGCAATTTTCGGCTGAGTGAGGGGTTGTATCAGCTGGTTATACAGCTAAGCCAACACCTTTGGTAATACATTTAGGAGTATCACATTAAAATTAATAAAGGACACAATTTTAAAATTTATAAAAAAATTTTTTTTTAAAAATTAGAAAGACAGCGACAAAAGTCAAAATTCTTTCTAACCCGAAGAACTTAGTTCAAAGCATTTAACTTAAAAAGTCCTATCAAAATCAGATCGAAATCAGAAAAAATAAAGAAAATTGCTTTCGTCCTATGTTATTTGCCAATTAGAAAAAAGTGCGTCAAATTATAATTCACCTTATTTAGTTTCACAAGTTTTATAAGGAAATCGAAAATGTGAATATACGGAAAGCAGTATTCTACTCGAACAGCCTTAAGAATAGGCCTAATAATATATAGCTTGCCAGGCAAGATAACAAGACAATAACTCATAATAAATAATGTTTTTTGATTAAGGTTCATCTTTGGGTTATAATAAACAATTTCACCAAGTTTTGTCTAAATGGGTCAAGAATTGTGCCTTCTAGATCATATAATTTATATCATTCATTTTTAGCAGAAAGATTTGCGACTATCTTTAAAAAAAGGATAGAAGCACAATAAATTAATGAAATCTTGATCTTAGGTGGAAATAATGGATGAACGATTCCATTGCCCTTGATTCAAGGGCATAGTCGATATCATTCAACAGTTGGAAATCGAAAAAGGTTAGGCTGGTCTTGCTTTCCTGACAAAATGTTACATTTGATAGTGCATGGCCCTGTCCCTCTTTAAAATTTCAATTAGGTGCAGAAGAATAGGTGGTAGAATTCCATTCATTTAATTTCATATCAAATCACGAAATTCAACCTTACATAACCCTTTCTGGAAAGTTCTCTAAATCCTCACAAAACAGTTGTTTAATTTCTAGTCAGTAGACCAATTTCTTTTGTGATATTCAATTTGTACGCCTTGATCGACATCTTCATATAATAAGAAAACCTCTGAAATGGTTGAAGGATTTGAATAAAATTCCGCCTAAATCTACCATCTCTATTTTTCATCATACAAGACATGTCCGATTTCGTATACGGTACGACTAAGAACGTTAGCAATTTCTGGATTTCATAAGCAGGGTCATTTCGTAGTTTTTCAAAATGAATCACTTGAATTGGGCCTTTGAATTTCAACCAATCCAAGTAAATTATATTCCACAATCCGGCGTTTTCGTGGATAAAATTTCGCCAATCTGGAAAAGAAAGACGTTTGATGATTATTGGTACAATCATACGTATCTTATACCTAGTACAAAGTATATATTTCAATGAAATCAAAATTTTAATTTCTTCTGTTGTGTTCATAACACATAACACAAGAACCTGTAAAATGTTCTCGACATTTACCCGAAATCTCATTCGATCAGATATATCTAACAGATGTAACTATATTGTTGACACAAGGTTACATAAAACCCAGATTGGTTTCTACCTTGCAGTTTTATGGTCGTCACCAGGATCTGGTTACTACAGTGTCAACATTTTTTCGTTTAGGTTGGGTGTAGGCCACCATTTGCTAATTTATTTACTAATATTATTCCCGGAATATTCAATTTCTATCGGTCTCATTTCCCCTATACTTTGAAACTGATTATCTAGATATTGGCGGGCGTCGTGCACGAGGCAGAGTATGCTCACTCTTTCTGCTTTTATTTAGTTTCATTCCGGGATGTTGTTTACCGATTGTTGTTTCACCCGATTTTGTCCTGTCCATGAATTTTCCGACTGGCTTTGAGACTTTGATTAATGTTATGACAGCTAGGCTACTTACATTGTTTATAGTCGAAATATGAAGCGTGACCTAAATGACCTCTATGTTGTCGGTTAAACTCTGCTCTTAAAGCATCAAATGGATCTCTGATCAAAATAACAGCTTTCTGATATCTACCTTTTTCTTTCTCCCCCCATTCATGAGTTTTGATCAGGATTACAGTGTCATCGTGAACTCCTTCTGCCGGGAAGCCTTGATTGTAAATGGAAGAATCATTATAAACACTGCCTGTAGCTATTCCTAAAATATAGTAAATTCTAAACACAGTCGAATAAAAATGACAAAATTTGTTTTTTGGGGGGGAGGGGGGGGCGGGGGGGGGGTTGTGTTTTTCTGCCATTTTGGCATGATTTCATGATTTGCTTTCTGAGGTGGAAAAATCGTATACAAGTATACGAAAAGAGCCATTGTGTTATACAACTGCAGATTAAAAGTTTTTTATCAGTTCAAAATTTGAATATATACACTGCATGGCGTTGTACAATGTCATTTTCTTAATATGTTGTAAAGAGAAAGGATGTAAAATTCATTTAAGTGGGTGTATATAAGCTTACCAGTAACTTGCTGTATCATGTGACGTAACCATGTATTCCCCGACCCTGGAAAACTGACTAAAGCTGTCTTGGGCAAATTGTGAGACCTGTATATAGGTCGACAGTCCCAATATTGTCTTTTGTTATAGGGTTTCTGAAACGGTCCAATATTGCCCATCCATGGCAAGGGAGACTTATTCAAATAGTATTCACAACCTATATTAAATAAAACACCTATAAATAAAACACACATGACAAATGATAGTTTTAGCCGTTTTCGAAATTTAACCATGTCTACCTAATGTCATAGGCCTACTATATTATATTATTACACTTCTTGAATGTCATAATACATGTATCTACATAAACTAGGTTAGTTAAAGGGACTGAAATATATTATATTTTATATAGGCTAAAATATAATATTAAAATTGATTCATGATTGTCGATATTTCATTAACATATTATGCTCACTTATATAAGGTCTGTGGGTCAAGGGCAGATATAAGAAAAGGGAAGAACCGATCATACAGTGGACGTGGTTTGTGAAAGAACCCTAAAAAAACTAATGCAGTGAGAGACTTGGTGACTGCATTTTCGACTTTCTGTTTTAAGAATATGATTTTTCAACATGACTGTCATGTCTAATGTCTACAAAATGTGGAAATCGGCACGATTTTACAATTCTGCGAAAATATGAATCCAAGATTTCAATGGTATAGCTGAGACCAAGTTTAAAATTCATATTTTGATGCTAAACATATATATGCTATCTTAAGGCTTCTGATATATATGGTCAAAAAACTTCATGTTGAAAAATGAAAAGATTATTTATTGTTTGTTTCATCTTATTTAGAAAATGGACTGTTATATAGGCCTTGTTTATCTTTAAACAAATATATAATTAATCTAATATCTAATATAATGTAAATAAATACTGAGCTAACTAACTAAGCCCCTCGCAGCCCCGAATGCAAGTTTTTTCGGGCATGACTCTCATAACTAGTTTAGAGATTCGGGCAACCTAAGATTTCATGCTCAGGTCGAACCCCTATAGATCTGGCGTTTGAAGAGTTAAACTCATCTACATAACCAGCTCTATCCAATTATTTTGGTCAAGGTTGGAATCCTTCAAAAATAAATATCTATCTAGCCATTGCTATAACCTGCTATTCTCACTTAAATACATGTATTATAGATAGATGATTAATGTGGGAAATTAGTTCATCAACTTTGAAAGCCTGTCTCTTTAACATTCAATATAGATAATTACACAATTCAGGATAACAAATATAGTATATTGTCTAAAATATTTCAGATAACTGTATTGTTATCTCTCACCTCTTCGTATCTACAAATAATGATTATAATATTTAAATAATCGTAAAGTTGAAGTAATAATGCTATATAGTCTAATGTCCAAGTTTTCCGACGAACACTGGAATCGTAAATGCTAATTAGTAAGCTTTAGCAACGCTTGGGCGAGAACGTTGCTTCCTGAGGAGATACTTTGCAGCATCTCACAAATCCTTTTGCACCACTCTTTTCGGTGTCATTTGCTATCATTTCAATATCTGTTAACAATTTATCTGAATTATCAAATCATTGGGAATTGCTGCACACAATTTGTCGACTTGATGGTCGTTTACAGATAACATCTGTAGGTTTCCACGCTACCGGTTGACCAATCGGTTTTACCGACGGCTTGAAGTCGTTGGGAAATCTTGCACACAACTTGTGTCAACTTTTTGCATGTTCTTTAAAACGCTTTCAACTTTTAGAATATTGTGACCCATGGATGAACCTTATTGCAAATATTGAAAATTATTTTTATTAGTAATTTCCCTTGAAATGGGATTCAACTTTTAGTCGTGAACACCCTAACACTCACAATTCTTGCCAGATTTTGACAAAAGAAGTGTTTGACTGAAACTGAAAGTTCAATATTTCATACTGTGATGGCCAAATATTTTTATTCAAAATCAAAACTGCAAGTGGGTGTATATTACCTTGCCTTGCCTTGCCTTGCCTTAGTGACTTTGATCTGGGATGTTAACATTGCTCTCAGCTAGTACTGAAGGTTCCTGAAAGGCTACTTTTGGTTTCTCACCTCTATCAACCCCTAGGAGAACTTTCTGCATCGACCGCATATTCCTGCCGGAAGATTGTTATAACTTACATCGTAATTGTCTATATAGTCTATAAGAAAGGTGGTGCTTGCAGTCAGGGTATAAGACGCAGTATGTAATAGCAGGACACTGTAAAGAAGTAAGGTTTGGTTTTTATGAGAATTATCATGTCATTTAATTTAAAATATGTGATATATATGGTTATATGAAGATAAACGTTTTCGATGTGCTTGAAATCATAATAATGTTTTGCTCTGGCGATTAAAATGGAAAATCGATATATTTAATCAGTAAATAATTAATCCCTGATTAAAATGTTTGTATGGCTAGGTGGTCATGAGAGCCAGATGTTGAATAAATTTAAGACATTTACAACAGTAGGCCTATACAGGCGTTTTTATATGGTGTATATAGTTTGTCAATGTTTGACAATCAAAAGTTAGAACATTAAATTGATATTATTATTATAAATTCAAACTGTGCAAATCATATTTATCTTCGAAAGCTGATAATTCTGTACTCTTTGACTTCAGGAATCTAGATTCATGCGGTATCACACAATCCGTTGTTTTTGTGATTAAGTGAACTAAAATTCATATATGGTTAAGTTTGTTTATGGAATCAAAGGGAGAACAGATGTCGGGTTGGTAATGTTGCATTTAAAAGTGTCCCCGATATACATACAATGTTTAAACCTACATTTATATACAAACGGAAAATGGATCATGTATTTTGTTGATGAATTTCATCTTGAGCTATCAAAATTTTTGTTGTGTTCTGTATCTACTGTATTTTTCTCTTTTTCTTTTTCAGAATGAAAATGAGACTCCGTTATAAATTAAGAAAATTGTTGCTGAATAAAAAAGTTATTTGTGTGATAATTTTTTGTTGTGTTGGATATATGCTCTCTAGGAGTTCATTAGATGATAGTGAGGTAATTTTAGATTCGTCCACGGTAAACTTGTCTCCTTTCCTTATCTCGGACTTTGAACAGACATTAGAAATAGAGGAAGATATTGTTCAAAAATTTTACGAAAACCATAATGTCGCATGCAAAATGCCAAATTTGGATGCCAATGATACAAGTGTTAATAAATATTTTTATAGTGTTCCTCCGTTAAAGTGTGGTGGTACTAAAGATTGGGTGTTTATTCACAACGGAACAGTATGTATATCCAAAGATGCATGGAAAATTCATGGAGGCTTTAAATGTGACTTTTATCCTATATTCCGTGTTGATGATGATACTAACGAAGAAGGTGAACCCAAACTAGATTTCACCAATGGGACTCTAATGACATCGGATATTGTCCGGATCCATTGTCGTTCTTCTGAGGGAGATACATTCGATAAAGTATTGGTCGGTATTGCATACAAGAAGCAGCTTCACAACTTCACTGGCGCTCGAAATCCACACAAAATGAACCTAAATGTGTTATTAGTAGGTTTCGATTCTATTTCAAGGATGACAGCTATCCGGAAATATGTTAAAACAAGAGATTATATTTTAAACAAATTAAATGGTATAGAACTAGAAGGATATAATATAGTGGGTGATGGTACTCCACAAGCTCTGATACCCATTTTAACTGGAACTACTGAAATCGAACTTCCAGAGAGTAGGAGAGGATTTAAAAACGCACGACATGTTGACGGTCATCCTTTTATTTGGAAAGATTATAAGAAAGATGGCTATATCACACATTTTGTTGAAGATTTACCACCCATTTCTATTTTTAACCATAGAATGGTTGGATTCAACCATCAACCAACCGACCATTATGGAAGACCGTATTATTTAGCCAGTGAATCTAGAGTTGAGTTGTATTTTCGTTACCTTCGAGATTATATTAATTCCTTTTTTGAATTGTTTAGTGGAAAAAATGTTGTTGATCCAGCATTCTGTTATAAAGGTAGCAAAAAGCACAATATTTTTTTGAAAATGTTCGAAGACTTCTTTGACATGTATCCAAATAAAATGAAATTTGGCTTTGGATTTCATAGTGAAATTAGTCACGATGATAACAACCGGATTGAACTTTTTGATGAAGATGTTTATCTTTGGCTCAAAAGTTTGGAAGATAAAGGCCATTTAAACAACACAATGCTTATTTTTATGAGTGACCATGGTGCAAGGTTCAGTCAGTTTCGAGCAACATCCCAGGGCAAGCTAGAAGAACGCATGCCATTTTTTACCTTCACCTTCCCAAAGTGGTTCGAAAAAGTTTACCCTGATGCAATGCAAAATTTCCGAATAAATAGTAAACGCCTAGTGACTCCGTTTGATATTCATGCCACGATGTATCATATGATAAACTATGATGGAACTGGAATCGGTGACGTGAATAATCGAGGAATCAGTTTATTTCGAGAAATACCAAAACATAGAACCTGTGCGCATGCTTTTGTGGAGCCACACTGGTGTGCGTGTTTGGATTGGCAAGTTGTTGAGGCCAATAGCCCTTTACTGAAACGTGCTATTTTTGTGTCAATATCTTCAATTAACAAGTGGATTCAAACAGCTTCCAATCAGTGTCATTTCCTACGTATCAGTAAGATAACGCGTTCAAAGCAATACCATGCAAACTCTCGGATGTTGAAGTTTAAAAAAAGTGCTGACAACCACGGGAGAATTGCTGATCTCTCTAGTAAAACGACTTATGATGAAACATTTTATCAAATAACTTTCATTACCGAGCCTGGAAGTGGACTTTTTGAAGTAACTGTCCGTCATAATCTAAAATCTAATGAAATGACTATTGGGCTATCAGACGTGAGTCGAACAAACGCTTATGGTGATGATCCAAAATGTATCAAGGACACATTACCACATTTAGAACGTTTCTGTAAATGCAAAACCTAATTGCCTCGTGGAGTTTACTTGACGAATTTTAAAAAAAAAAACTCATCATCGCCAATATCTGATTTTTTGCGAAATTTTGTTAAAATGGATGAATAAGGATGAGCCCTTTCTAAAGATGAAATATGGCACAATAATTGTGAATGGATTTAGACGAAATCGTTTATTATCATCCAAGTATGAAAGTAAACAATCGAGTCTTTTTTTGATTTTTATAACATGAATTACCATTGAAGTTTCAAGGAAATGATTGAGTAGCTCATTGCGAACTTTGTTTTTCGTTTTTTTTATTTTTTTTTTTATTTTTTCGTTAAAATGATTTACACATATATGCCAACGTACCACCATCATGTATTTAAATCGTTTCTTGGGCTTTACGAGATGGATCGACTATAATAACGTCCTATGGACATTACCTCTATTGTTCCTCAGATTGGACAATACAGAAGAATATCTTATACTTATACCATTACCAATATTATTCGGACAAGAAGGCTCATGCTGCTGGAAGTTTCCCCCATTGCACACAATGTGGTTTTCTTGTTTTCGTTAACCTCACCAGAGGCGCTATTGTAGGACGTTACCCTCCATTCATTTATTTTCTTTTATTTATGTTTAGGCTGCTAAATGGGTTGAACTAAGTTTTGTGTTTTGGTCTATTCGGCTCAGTATTCTGTTACGATTATTTGTTGCAGTTTTGTGGTATTTTAAGACGATATTGTTGCACTTATGTGGTAAAGGTTAATTAGAGCAGTGGTCTGTACTTTTCTAAACTTGTAGGTTTGAAGACAATACTCTCAATAATTAGACTCTTGATCCGATATATTTTGTATAAAGTGACTTGCTAGCAGATTGGGTTATCGAAGTTTTCAGCTACCAGTTTCAAGTGGCTATAAAGGATTTCTTTAATGTATTTATTTACATACATCATACACAGGCATCATATTCACGTGGTTTTCATTCTTAATTCATTAATTTATTCTCTAATAATCAACTCACAATTTGATTTATTCATTTAATTCAATTTGAATCACAAATGTTTATAGAGAAGTAAAAGTTTTATTTTAGAAAGTTCTCATGTTCAGCATGAGAGTGACGATCGTCTTGAATTCAAGACAGGTGAAAGAAAATCTGGTCTCTCTGCAACGCTGCATGCATGTCAGGCTAGATATTCCCTGGCAAGTTTAGCAAGCATGCGTAAGGCAGTTAATCACATGACAAAACATGGTGGTGTCCAGAAAGAAGCGAAAAGTGGCAGTGGCAGTTCTTTTGGTTGAGTCATAAGAAAATTCGCAAAAGACTTCGCGAGAGTGGACACACTTGCCGAACGAGTCGATTGAAATGAACATACTATCAATTCTATCAAACGCGCTTGATGTTGGCGAATGGCTTCGACCGACGCCCGAACCATTCGATGTGAAAAGTCGTCCTCAGCTAAAAGTCTTGTGTCCACGTATACGCGTTTTCATGAGCGTATACACGCCACGTACTATATGTCATACGCCGAGAAACCTACATGAATTTCAATAGTTCTTGTCCACATGGGTGTGTTGTAAACAACGTCACTCTCTGCTGAAGCTACGAAAATTACGCTTATAACCCCCGACAGTTTTTTTATTAAGCTTTACATTGCACATTCCATAATGCCGTCTCGAGGCAATGAAAAGAACGTTTCAATATAAGACAAGTTCACTTTGGAATTCGTTACCCCAATCTCTTAAATTGTCTTAGGAATTGCGCCATTTCATAGAAGGAGGATTAGTGAGGATTAAATTTTTTTTATCGTTTTCCTCTCATTGCAACTTTTTTTTTTATATCATGATTTATTTTCATCATAAATACATTCATATTGTTTTGTATTGTTGTTGTAGTTGTGTAGTATTTATATAGTTTTGTAGCATTTTTGTAAATTGTTTTTGAGTTTTTAGTTTATTTTTGTTCTGTTCCTTTTAGTTATATATATTTAGACAATGTTTATACAATGTTTCTATTTCTATTTGTATATATTAATATTTGTAGTTAGTCGATTTCAGGGAAGATACCTTTGGTAACTGATTTCTAATAAAGATTTTATTATTATTTTCATTATAATGGAATCGAAATCAAAGTATTACGTGACCATATTATGTGGCGGTACCTTTTTCATTCAGTATCCATAACTCTTTTGGGGGGGGGGGGGGAGTATGCCGTTTATTGTAGATATAAAGTACTAGAATTTCTGTGTCACTGCTTGATTTCCCCTCTAGCAAGTGTGCCTAGGTCATCTGACGCGTTTTACGTGGAGTGAAAAACGCGATATGTGCACACATGCATTATAAGGACAATGATGAGTAAAACCGACTTTTAATGTGAGTTATTCGTAATTACCAAAATGGAGTAATTTAATGCCGTTTATTGTAGATATAAAGTACTAGAATTTCTGTGTCACTGCTTGATTTCCCCTCTAGCAAGTGTGCCTAGGTCATCTGACGCGTTTTACGTGGAGTGAAAAACGCGATATGTGCACACATGCATTATAAGGACAATGATGAGTAAAACCGACTTTTAATGTGAGTTATTCGTAATTACCAAAATGGAGTAATTCAGTAGGTATAGTCGTGTTCAGTTAGCGTTTTAAAGCGGGTTGGGGCGCTTAAAAGCCTTAGCCTAAAGCTTGTGCCCACATACGCGTTTTTATGATCGTTTTAAGGCCGCGTCAAATGCGTCATATTATGTGAAAATGACACAGCGTAATACGCCGCGGTTTAGTATGTCCACATATCGTAGGCGGAGACACACTTGCTAGAGAGGAAGACAACATGGCGGACGAATCAGACAGTGACATTGACCGAAACATCCTGCCCTAGCTCAATGCAGTCGGCAGAGTGTCGGAAAACCATCTATGATTATAACCTGAAATAATGCAAATATTTTGGTTGCGTTGAAATATATGCTCCTTCCTTGAGTTTTTTTTCCCCAAAAAACTGACATTTTTCTTGTATGTAATGAGGTCAACTCCATACCATCCTTTTTTTCGACAGGATAAACCACTAATTGTTGTCTCTCAAAAGCGTGGAGCGATTTAGAAGATGGTCGCCATCTTACATAAGACTTATTGTCATTGAATATTTCAGCCAATAAAAAGACACGAATTTCATTGGCTCAAATACCCGCCAAATGGACATTTATCTTATTTGTACACAAGTACAAAGCGTCAATTTGTTGTAAGGTACATCTTACTCCATAATTATCTAATACTTTACAAAATTTTATGTTTTCAAAGGCCTAAATCAAGTAATACAAAATTGCATGATATTTATCTACTTGGTAGTATATGTGTGTCTAAAATACGTAGTATTATTTAGAGTCAACTTATCCGTATAACAGCGATATTGACGTTAGAGCGCTTTATATCTACAAAAACGGCGTCAACCTGATAGCTTGCTAGGCAAAGTAACATACCCCCACTGGCAGCTGTCAGAGATGAGAACTAAATCTTTATTGACCAAAAATATAAGAAAGATCTTCATAATAATACAAAATTTCTCATACTGAAGATCTCAAAAATTAGCCAAATTAGAACTTGACAAATATTTTTTTAATTTATACATACATACCAAATTCATTCAGATCTGATTAAAACTCCAGCCCCTATCATGTTTACAAGCCAAAGGGCAATATCTCCAAAACCGTTCAGTCAAAATGAGCCATATTCGACCTAGTTCAAGATTCGTGACGCTCATCATTCCAGCAGTAGACACAAGAGTCAAGAGTGGCAAAAAGAGGGCACAACCACCATTCCACTCGCCGCCATGTTCATACTCGCCATCGCCCCATCGACGCCATCGTAGAGCTTTAGATGCACCCATCGATGCCTCCCCTGCTCGAGTCGTGTACCG